ATCATCTATTTGACAAATTGCTGTATTTGATATTAAGTTGAGTCGAATATTCAGATAATCATTTGAAGAAGTTTTGTATACGTAGTTTTGTTGAAATGTGTCGCTATATATTTTTGAATTTTGTCTATGAAAAAAGATTGTGTAGATAGTTGTGATGAACAGCATAGTAAAGGAAAGGATATAAATCGGAAATAGATATTTTCGAAGAGGCGACATTCATCTGTATCAAATACGAAAGTCACCAAACGAAGATTTGAATTTCGTTGATCTTATCTTGATAATTTTGTTTATTTAATGACTTATCATGGGAGTTTTATAAAACTGAACTAATTCGATTTATCTTCGTGTGATATAATAGTTTGTATTAATATTCTTCTTTTATTGATGCAGCCACGTGAAATGGAAAAAAAACTCGTATTGTTAATGTTTCGAAAATACCTGCAGAAATTCTTCTATGTCAGGAGAAAAAAGGAAGAGAATGAAGAATTTAGTTTTTTTTCTTGTTCTGTCTATCGAAATCATTTTTTACTTTTATGAAAAAGTAAAATGAAGGTTTTTATATTAAAGTTGAATGAATAAATAAATAACCCGCAGCAGCTTTATAGATTCTTTCTTATTCAATAACATATGAAGCTAAGCAATTTTATTTTTCGTTTTTTTCTTTAGTTAATGAAAACGAATGTAGTTTAGTTATATTTGATTTTATTCAATAAAAAGTATCAAAAAAAGTCGATTATCACAAATAAGTGTTGAAATATGATATTGATGTCAAATATAACATGTTTTTGTTAAAAATAAAATATCTGAAAATCAGTTATATGCTGATGATGTTTATGTGATATTCCTAGCATGAAATATTGATTTTGTTATTGCTGTTGTCAATTCAACAAATATAATATCAATGATCGAACACCACGTAAACCAGATCATAATATTCGATGAAACTCTGGAGACTATGGTGGCTAAATAGAAATTGAAATCAAAACATGCATAAAATCCTTTGCTAAGATATATTTTACTTCCGTATTATCTTTTAATGTTGTTGAATAATATAATCGATCATGATTGTTAAAATTTGTTTTTTATTGTTGCTGCTTAAAATTAATCACATCTTGATGGTGGGTGTGGGTATAGATTTTGGTAATAAGTAGATACGATACTGAGAGTCACATTCACACGCTCCAGATTTGAATAGAATCGTATACTTAACATACGGAGAAAAATGTTTATTTTGAAGTATACTTTCATTTAATTTTCATTTCAATCGAATTTTGATGAATCGAACACTTTTCATTTTATTTTATTTCCCATGGGATTCCGATTGAGTTCATCATACTATATATTGACTAAGTGTTTATCAGGAATTAATCTGGAAAGATTCATTGTGTTAGAGTTTGAGAAAAAAATATTTTAATGACTAGTATATAAATGTGTTGTAAAAATTTCCACAACAAAGTAATTAGTTCAATATGCTTAAAATAGATGATCTTTTCTTGCAAGATGGAAATAATCAAACATTGCGAAAGGTAGAGAAAATCCAATATGAATTTTATCGCATTTTGTCAATCAGCTTAGCGACCTGACACAAAAACTCGATACCCTGCATGATCCAAAACTCTTTTTTATGATATTACCAGAATTTTCTCGGAATCTTCAAGCCACAGATCCGATCAAATATAATAGTCACTGACTATCAAAAATGAATTTGAATCCTATCGTCGAATCCGTTATAACATTTAATTCCTTGGATAGTCAAACAAAATAACAATAAACAAGTGATCAACAAATAAATAATAACACTATCAAAAAGCCTATTTTAGCAATCCTTGATATCTAAAGTAGTCTTATTATTATTTACAATATTGTGTCGTTCCTGAATAACTTTCCAAGCCTTTTCATATTCGCCAAATTTTGCTGATTCATTACTTACACGGTGACCATGCAATGTCGATGAACAAACAGCTAACAATGGATGCTGCGCCATGACACACGAGCAATTCCCTGAATATATTTGTTCGTAATCAATTGTAATGCTTTCGCATTTCACTCCTGCAGCTTTGGCTAAAAATCCTGATACAAATACATCACCTATCCATACTGTTTTATTCACTGGATAAGTATATGATGCAGTTACTAGTCTATTCCGTACATCTTTTGACATAAACCAACCCAAACCTGAACAGTAGTGTGGAAGAGTTGGGTGCGGCCACGCATAATGACTAACAGCAAACTTTCCTCCACGTAATGTTTCGGTACCACCCATTAACCAAGCATCACGAAATAATGTTGTTCGATTCATCGATAAAACTTCTGAAACAAGTGTAGGACGATATTTTGATATATATGAACTAGCATTTCGATTATTTGTTGTCAATAATTGTCCAATAGATGAGATGAGAAGTGAATCAACAATCAAATCATCATCAGTTTTGAATAAATATGG